GCCTCTCTGTCTCTGTCTCTGTTTCTCTGTCTGTCTGCGTGCGTGCGTGCGTGCGTGCGTGCGTGTGTGTGTGTGTGTGTGTGTGTGTTCTGAGCTGTCTTTTCTATCCTTTTAGCATGCACAGCTGGTTCAGCCGCTCCATCTGATGTAGAGAGATCCTTGAGACACTGCTCCTACCCCAAAGTCCAGCAGATTGGCAGCTCTTACTTCCGGAAATGCAGGAGCATCAACCTCGATGTTGGTAGAGCTTACCTCTGTATGGTGAGGTTATGTGTAATCATTTTCTTTTTTACTTCTTTGCTTTGACTTTTTTTTTTTCCTACCATGAACTTAGTAATTTTGTCACTAGTTACGGTGTGGATAGACTTGTGGTTTAGTGGCAGAGTTCAGTCTCCAGCACTGCTAACAACAACAAAAAAGTAGAGATAAAATTATTCTCTGTGATAACAATTATTTGTGGCTTCAGTGATGTAGGGTGTGTCTGTTAGAAGCAGCCACAGGGCCAAGGAGAAGTGAGGGCACCAAAGCTTGAGAACTGGTCCCTATTTCTGACAGATCATTATGAGCCACCTCCACCTTGCCTCGTGGTGGACAAGTCTCAGTTAATCTTCCAAACCAGCCTAGAAGATTAGCTGATAGTCTGCAGCTGAGAAATCAAATATCTACTTTATAGATCAAGAAACCAAGAGTCAGAAAGTTCCTGTTACTCTCCCAGCAACACACAGCTAGAAAGGGATGCGGCAACGTTTGAATCCAGGTATGAGTGACTTCAAGTCTTCATACTTTAACCTCTAGACTCAGCAATCATTCCAAGCCTCTCCAATCCAGCTAAGTAAAGATTATTGTTCCATTTTCTAGATAAAAAATATTAAGGCCAGGGAGGGGACTTGTTTAATATAGTCAAGCCAAAGTTGCTGAGTTAGTCAAAGTAGCAATGTTCCTTCTAGAATCCAGGCCTCTCTCCTCTCCTCAGATAGCTCTCCTCTCAGCTACCTCTGCCGATTCCTGAGGCTTCCTTCACAGAACCAGTGACTCATGGTAGACTGTTGGGTGGACTTCCCCTTTCTCAAAGGCCAGGAAAAGTGTGTGTTGACAGCCCCTGTGGGTGAACAATTTCAGGTCAGTTATTGAGTGGGCAGGCAGTGTAGAAGATCAGGTTTGTGTGACCTGTGACTGGGAGGGGTTTGCTGGTCTGTCTGGTAGAGCTTGGTTTGTCTGTCTGATCAGAATTGGCTGTTTGACTGGTAGGGGTTGATCTGTCTCTCTTGTAGAGGTTGGCCTTGGCCTGTCTGTCTGGGAGGGTTTGGCTGTCTGTCTGGGAGGGGTTGGGTGCTGTGTGTGTGGCGGGGGTGTTGGGTGTGTTGTGGAGGGGGGTTTGCTGTCTGTCTGTCTGGTAGGGTTGGCTGTCTGTCTGGGAGGGTTGGCTGTCTGTCTGGGAGGGTTGGCTGTCTGACTGGTAGGGGTTGGCTGTCTGTCTGGGAGGATTGGATGTCTATCTGGGAGGGGTTGGCTTGTCTGTCTGGGAGGGTTGGCTGTCTCTCTGATAGGGTTGGCTGTCTCTCTGATAGGGTTGGCTCTGTCTGGGAGGACTGGATGTCTGTCTGGGAGGGGTTGGCCTGTCTGTCTGGGAGGGTTGGCTGTCTGTCTGGGAGGGTTGGCTGTCTGTCTGAGAGGGTTGGCTGTCTGTCTGGGAGGGTTGGCTGTCTGCCTGGGAGGGTTGGCTGTCTGTCTGGGAGGTGTTGACTGTCTGTCTGGGAGGGTTGGCTGTCTGTCTGTCTGGGAGGGTTGGCCTGTTGTCTAGGAGGGTTAGCTGTCTGTCTGTCTGGTAGGGTTGGCTGTCTGTCTGGGAGGGTTGGCTGTCTGTCTGGTAGGGTTGGCTGTCTGTCTGGGAGGGTTGGCTGTCTGTCTGGTAGGGTTGGCTGTCTGTCTGGTAGGGTTGGCTGTCTACTACCTTTGCTGGCACACCAGCATGCTTCCTACCTGAGGGCCATCTCAGTGCACCTGCCAGGTCAGCCTTGAAGACTTGCTCCCGCCTGGAAGGCTGCACCAGTAGGCAGTGTAGAAAACGAAATCAGGAGGACAGAAAGCCCCCATTAATAACAACTCAGTGTTATTTGATGTTCGCACACTAACTCTCTACCAGGCAGTAGAAAGCTTTGCAATGGCCCTAGAAAGGAGGTTCTGTAGCATTGGAGCCAAATAACACCGGCTCCAAGTCCTAGCTATGCCACTTGCCCACCGTGTGACCCCCAGAGCAGTTCTTCATATTCACTCAGCAAACACTCCCGCTCTCTTGCTGTGGCTGCCATTACCTTCCTTGCATCATTACTTCAGTGCAGCCAACACTCCTCCCTTGAACTGGAGTCATTCTCCCTGGAAGCACTGAGCCCAGTATTACTGGGTGGCCGGATTCCCATGAAATGTGGAGATAGGAAACATCTGGGGCAGCCTGGGAACAACCTGCCATTCACTGACTTGATGCAATTAAAAGAGGCTGCCTCGTTCTGACACAGCAGTGGGTCTGTGGCCTGGGAGACCTCATTCTCATCTGCCGCGGGGTCTCCAGCCAGCCCCTGCCCTCTCTGGACCACAGTTTCACATCTTCTGCATAAAAGCCAGTCAGACTCCAGAAGCTGTGAACTGAATAGACACCAGGCACTTAGAATTCGATTGATATGGGAACAGCTAGAGACTCCCGGGAGGGCAAGTCACAAGAGAAGGAAGACTAATATTGTCCTCTTTATTTTGCCCTGACGACCACCCTGACTCCACCAGCTGAGGGCAAAGGATTTTTCTTTTGCCATCCCATTTCTCTAGCCACTCCAGGTCCACTTCTGTAGTACAACATCTGGGGATTGTCTTCATGCCCACAGCTGCCATCCACCAAGCAGGCTTCCCAAGGAGTTTCCTCAGCTTCTGCCAAGGCACAGTCAGCCAGCCCTGGGTGTTCCCCTGGACTCCTGTCGGAACCTTTTGTTGCTGTGTGTAGCGCTTGCACTCATGGCAGACCCTGAGGGTGAAGGCCGTGTTTCATGCCGTCAGCAGCACTGGCACATTCCATGTCACGTCCATTACAGAGTGGAATGACAGCAGCTGCCATTTGCCGGGTCTGGCACAGCACCAAATGCTTTATGTCTATGATCTCACTTAATCTCTACATGAGGCAGAGGCCACCGATGAGGAAAGAGAGCCCGAGAGAAGAGAAATGATGGGGCCATGCTCCCATAAATGCTGGAGGTAGGATTTGAACTCATAATCAACGATTTAATCACTATAGAGTGCTGCCTCCCAAAGGTGCCATCAGAGGTCCTTCCAGGACGCAACTTGTCCTCAGCTGTTACTTTTCAGAGGGACAAATCAAGGTCCAGAGAGAGGTGACTGGTCCACTGTTACGTGGCAAACCTATTCCAGAAAAATTCTAGGATTACTCTCCACAGCCTCCTCACACCATTCCAGAAAACAGAAAGTGTCCCAGGTGGTAGATGAACAAGAAGGCTCATCCTGAGCAATTCTTTGGAAGTCTGACAATGTAAAGGATGGACAAGCATCTTCCAGAGTTCCTCAGGTCCTCAGGGTTAGGACAGAGTCCCAGCATTCCTCCAGACAGCTGGAGGTGTCACTTTATTGGACTTAGCACCAACTACTGGGCTAGGGTGACCTCTATGCCTAGAATGTTCTCTCCTTCAGTTGTCTTGCTTGGCTAATGCCACTTCCTCTGGGAAGGCCTCTGTGAGCATGCAGGTTCCCCCACCATTGATTCTCATGGCTCGGGCTCTTTCTTGTCTGTAACACGGGTCCAGCCTGGCTGTGGACTCAGATCAGAGGCCCACATAGTAGGAGTGTTAGACCTTATCTTCACCTTGCTGACCTCCAAGGATGACATTCCAGAATTTCATATTAGCCTTATAAAACCAACCAATCTTTGCATGTTTGTTAAAATGATGGATACTTTGTAGAGAAGCTGATTGGAGGTCAGGAATGGTGATGGATGCCTGTCACACCAGCACTTGAAAGGCTGAGCCAGGACGATCACAAAATCCAGGCCAGCCTATGATGCAGAGTGAGTTCAAGGCCAGCCTGAGCTACACATCTAGATTCTGTCTTAAACAAATAATCCCAGTGGTGGTGGTGGTGGCGGTAAGACACGCCTGTAATCCCAGCACTTGGAAGGCAAAGGCACTGGTCTACAAAGTCCAGGACAGCCTGGGTTATCTAAAACAAAACAAAACAAAACAACAACAACAATAACAACAACAACAAAAAAAAAAAAAAACAATGAAAGTGCTATGTAGCTCTCTCCTTCAGATCTAAACTTTCCCTCCTAGAGTTGAGGAAGGAGACTCAAGATTTAGGAAGTAAAGGAAATTTAACGTGGTTTGGGAAGCTCCTGAGGCCTACAGGACTCACAAAGTCCCTCCTCAAGATTATAAAAGCAGGGCTGGGCTTGTAGTTCCATTGATGGAGTGCTTGCTAAGCATATGTGATGCCTGGGTTCCAGTCCCAGAACCACAGAAACCAAGCATACTTAAGCACTCCTGTAATCTCAGCACTTGGGAGGTAGAGGCAGGAGAATCAGAAACTTCAAGGTCATGTTCAACTACATAGCTAGCTAGGCTTCAGGCTTGCTTGGGATACACAAGACCCTGTCTAAAAAAGAAAAAACAAACCCAAACAAAAAAACAGCAGTGAGTGATTGCTGGGTGGAAATGACTCTCTGATTGGCACAGCTGGCTGCAAGTTTGTGCAGGAAGCAGGGAGGTCCAGGGCTTTGGCCTTCTGTGAGCTGTCACCCATGGAGGACTGGGCTTTGCATTTATGCTGCTGAAAGTAACCCCAATAGACTCACTGGTTCACTAGACTGGGTTTGGATGGGATGATTCTTTGGTCCAGTGGTTCTCAAACTGTGGGTCACAACTCCTTTGGGGGTTGCATATCAGATATCCCAAATATCAGACATGTACATTATGATTCATAACAGTAGCAAAAATACACTTATGAAGTAGCAACAAAATAATTTTATGGTTGGGGGGTCATAGCATGAGGAACTGTACTGAAGGACCCCAAGTATTGGGAAGGTTGAGAGCAAGTGCTTTGGTTTGGCATTGGTGCTCTATCTGGGCTGAATAGACTTCTCTGTTTATGTCTCCTCAGCAGGATGAATAAACACCCACAAATACAACCTGTGAAGAAACAAAACAAGTGAAACCCGATTAAGACAGACTAGAGTCAGTCCTGTAGACTCCAGCATTGGGCCTGAATTCTCTCCCCAGCCTCAGTTAATCCCTAGAGAGCACCCCTCCCTTTAATGATTTATTTTTATTTTATATGCGTTGGTGTTTTGCCAGCATGTATGTCTGTGAGAGGGTGTCGGATTTCCTGGAACTGAAGTTACCGACAAGTCGTGGACTGCCATGTGGGTGCTGGGAACTGAACCTAGGTCCTCTGGAAGATTGGCCAGTACTCTTACCCTCTGGAGTGGCTTCCTTTTTTGAAGACAGATTTCAGTGTCCAGATAGTATGGGACAACCTTTCTTTGACATTTTTCATCCCCATCATTGCTTCTTAGATTTGAGCATGTCAAGAACAAAAACAGAGCCAAGCAGTGGTGGCACATGCCTTTAATCCAGCATTCGGGAGGTAGAGGCAGGTGGATCTCTGTGAGTTTGAGGCCAGCCTGGTCTACATAGTGAGTTCCAGGACAGCCAGAGCTGTTACACAGAGAAATCATGTCTTGGAAAACCAAAACAACAAGACAAAAACAGTGCAGTGTATAACAGTATCTTTCCTTCCTGTTGGAGGTGTGTGTGGTGTGGAGTGGCTACTGGGGATCATACCTAGGGACTTGTGAATGCCAAGTAAGTGCTGAACCACTGAGCTACACCACCAGCAAACCCCACTTAAGGTCTTTCTATCATCTTTAATGACAACGGTCTTTTCACCTCACTGACCAGAATCTCACAGGTGAAAGTCTAACTTTCTGCACACTGTCCCTACCCACAACCCATGGTCCACCTCCATGAGATTCTGTCCCTACCCCCACTGAAAGGACACTAGCCCATTCAAGCACGTGTCTCTGGCGGGCCTTGCCTGTCTTCCCCCAATTCCCTCGGCCTTGCTAAAAACCGTTAGATTACATTCCTAAAACTACCTACCAAGATCCATTCCCTTATTTGGATACTTCCTTCTCCTGAGGTTGACTACCAAGGTCCAGTTATCAAAGTGTTGAAGTCCAGAAATCAGAAACCCCTCTTTGGCTCACCTAATTACCATGTCCAATTAAAATTAAACACCTCATCCTAACATGGGGTTTTCCCCTCTTACCTTTATAAACTGCCGTTTTCGTGCCCCACCTGTCCCTGTCTATCAGAGGCAGTCCTTTGCCCCTCAGTTCTGAAGGGTGAAATGGATCTTGGGCAGCAGTGTTTAGAATCAAGGTGTGGCAGGGCTCACACCCCCTGGAGTCTCCAGGGAAGAGTCCTTTTCTTAGGCTTTTCCAGCATGCAGACATGTGCTCTTTGGCTCGTGGTCCTCTTGTCCATCTTCAAAGCCAGCAACAGCATCCTCTGACCTTATATCAAAGGGCTAGATGGTTACTTCAGGCTTGCTCAGATAATGATTCAAGATGGTCACTTCATTTTAACATTCTTCATTTTGTCTGAAAAAACAAAAAACAAAAAAACAAAAAACAAAAAACAAAATCCCTTTGCAGTCTTAAGGCAGCCTTTGCAGGCACTGGGGATTATGACCTGGAACCTTGATATGCTGTTATTTGGCCTATTTGTTGCTCATTTTTGCTTGCTCTATGACCAAGACACTTTGTACATGTTTGGTAAATTACATGGTAACAGTGGAAACTCCCATCCAGCAGACATCATGACCCGGAGAACTTTGGAGCCATAGAATGGTGAAATCTCCTGCTTAGCAGAGGCTAACCCAGAGTCCCTCCAAGCATGAGAGACTGGGCTAGCTGCCGAGCACCTGCTTCCCTCCACCCCTATGGTCTCTCTGACTCTCTGTCCCTGTGCTGGCAATTCCTTCTCAACCTCATCTAAGCACCACACTGTTTATTCTTATTTTATATTGTAGAGAGAAAACTTGCATGGTGTATTGTTACCACACAATTTTAATTTTTTTTTATTTCTATTTGCCAACGAATGGGGGAGGGGCTGATTGTTTTTGTTAAGGTTTAACTTCCCAGTCAGGAAGACCTGGATACCAACTTGGTAGCTGTAAACAGTAATTTGCCTCTCTACAAGGGGCCTTGGCTGATGGCTGTGTTCTGTTTGCTCATCTGTGAAGTGGGGATGTTAGCGGAATGTCATACCGTGGTTGTGATAAATGCAAAGACAAATCCAAGCTTGGTCCAGAACCTCAGTATTAACGTCATCTGGGAATTCGCCCCACCCTGACGCCCTGAATCAGAGGCTGGGCATGCGGCGGCCCTGCAATCCCTGTTACAACACACCTTCCAGAGAACTCTGGCCCTGTGCTGAGCACAGAGCCTGGTACACAATAACGAGGTGACAGATGATGCGCCCTCGCACCACTGGTGTTGGCTGCCATCAGTTTAGTACACTTTCTGTGAAACTGAGTTCAGTGTGTCCCTTCCTCTCCCTGTCTTGCAAATACTCTAATGTTTAGATCACCAATAGAAGCAGTTGCCCACAGAGCTGCCCTTTCCTGAGCCGGTTGTCCAGCCTCTCCTTGCATAGATAGTCGTTGCAACAAGGCCCTCATCATTTATCTGGGTAGGTTAAATTCCAGGTAAAGCTCTGGCTGGACAGCCCTCCCTGGGGTCTCTTGTCCAAGCCTTTCAGCTGTGCTGAGTCCTGCTCAGCCCTAAGGCAGCTGCTTCCCTGCACGCTGAACCTCAAGTGAAGTCTGGCCAGTCCCCAGCCGCAGGGAGGTGGCTCTCTGAGGAACCACATCTCTGTTTGCCTGGTATTTTGGCAGCACTTCACCCCGCTGACTCACTCTGGTCTACCAAAACCCAGGGCCTTTTTCTCAGGAACTGCAGCTACTCTGGGGGATTGGGTCACCCTGTCCTTCTGTGACGTGTACAACTTACTTCTTAAAAATAACACCACTTTCCAATTATAAAACTGATCTGGGCTGCGAGGTGCAGCGAGGCATACCAGGAACCTGAGCAGGGAGGCAGGAGGGTCTTGGGTTTGAGATCAGCCGGGGCTGATCCAAAACCAAAACCAACAGCAGCAACAACAAAATAAAACAAACAACAGCAACAAACTCTGCTTGCTACAGTAAACTAGGAAAGCACAATGGAAAATCTAACTGGCAATGGACACTAAAACTGTTTTTAACTGTTTTTTTTTTTTTCCGATTTAAAAGCAAAAACTCCTCAAACAAAACTGACCTTTGAAAAATTTCTTTTCTTCTCTTCTTCTTCTTCTTCTTCTTCTTCTTCTTCTTCTTCTTCTTCTTCTTCTTCTTCTTCTTCTTTTTTTGTGGGAGAAAGTAAGATCAGTGTAATACAAGGATAATTTCAATTCTAATGTCTATGGATACAATTCAAATGTACATGAGTATAGCAATGGAAACTCACTCCTCCCTTCCTGTTTCTGCAGATGTGGCTTTAATTCTGGCTTCTCTACTTACTGGTTACATCACAATCCATTTAGTATCTTGGAGCCTTAGTTTTGTCATCTGTGTAATGAGTGTGACAATCGATATTTCCCAGGACTGTGGTACAGATGGAAATAAAGTTTGTGGCTTAATTCCAGTAAAGGTCTGTAGAGAGCTCAGTGTGGGGCTGTCACCTAGCTAACTGCTGTTCTGGTCCTGTTCTGGATCTTTTTACCCGGGTTCTTCTCATTCCCTCAGTCTTGCAGCTGCCCATTGTCTGTCTGTAACTGCTCTATGCCTGGCTACTTTAAGCTCACCTGGGGCAGGGACCACATCCTACCTTGTTCATTTTTGAGCTCCCAGTGTCTAGAAAGGAGTGTGTGGCCTGAGAGTGTGGAGGGAGCATTGGATAGAAGTTGTTAAAGTAAGGAATAAAGAGCCAGGTGGTGGTGGCTCTCAGGAGGCAGAGGCAGGTGGATCTCTGTGAGTTCGAGACCAGCCTGGTCTACAAGAGCTAGTTCCAGGACAGCCTCCAAGGCCACAGAGAAACCCTGTCTGGAGAAACAAAAACAAAACAAAACAACAACAACAAAAAAGCTTGGGAGACTGAATGTGTGAATGGTGGCTGGGTCAGGACCAGCAGATGTCACTCACCAGAGCAGCAGTTGGCTAGGTGACAAGTTCTTAAGAGAAACAGCCCCACACTGAGTTCTCTACAAACCTTTACTGGAATTAAGCCACAAGCTTTATTTCCATCTTTACTAGGAGAGAGGGTCCCACCTCCCATCGCAGGCTTGGTCAAGTGCACAGACCAGGCTCTCTGATAACTGGGATGGATAGGCCTAGCTCTTCCTGGTCAGGGTGCCTGGAGACTTGGCCTCCCAAAGCCTGGGCAGAAGAGCACATAAGGGGACAGATGGGGCTGAAAGAGTGGAAACAGCTGGAATTACAGGAGAGCCCCCACCCCTCCTTCCCCACCCCCGGCCTGACAGCTGACTGAGTCAGTTGTGGATTGCCACTTTGGAAGCCAGTTCTCATGGTCTGTAGCCCCACTTGTGACCTCTGGTAGGGCCCTAGTTCAGCTAGCCTACAAACTGAGGCCTTGGGGATGGGAGGCTGCAGCCTGGGTGGGTCCAAGCCTGACAGGCGCTTTCTGCCAGCCTTGACCCAGACACTTGGCTTGCTGGCTTTCTGTGTGGTCTTTTCTGTTTCTGGATCTGGAAGCACTCAGGGGTGGAGGAGGCGTCTCTTCCTCTTTTTGATTGCTTAGATAGCATCTTTGCTTTCTCCCAGGCAACCTCCAAAAATCTCCAAAAGCAAAAGCAAAACAAACAATTCAACCCTCAGGACTATTTTAAGCTCACCGAGTAGGCTCTTCAGAGAAACCAGGAGCTTAGCGAGGAAAACGGGGTTCCCCTAAGTTGGGCTCTGTCTGTCTTCAGCTTCCTTATCTGTAAAGTGGTCAGGGATGACAAATGCTCCCACCCCCCTGGGGAGTAAGGTCTCTCTGCTTAGGAGCTGCATTGCAGGATGGGAGCAAGGAGTTTCTCACTCTAGCAGAAGCTAGTGGCTTCAGACCCAGCTCTGTCTTCCACTCTCCATCTTATAGCTTGTAGCTAGATGGGAGGACCTTCTGTGACATTCCTGAGCCTGGCTTGGCCACTGCTAACATGCTAGTGCAAGAGGGGACTCTCTTGGACTGAAAGCCTGGTTGGTGTCAGGGCCTGCAGGAGGGAATTTTCAAGAAAGGGAAGTGGTTGTGGTCAGACAGAATGATGGAGCAACTCTGCCAGGACCTGGGTGGAAAACCCCTAACTCCTGCTGTGTTCTCATAGTGGGGTGTGGAGGCAGACACTGCAGCCGCCCCACCCCCACCGCCACGAGAAAGTACCCGGCTTCACCCTGGGTTTCACTTGGGACTGTGTGAGAGCAGCGACACATCTGATCTGGTGAAGCCTCATACCAGCCGTTTTGCCATCTTTGGCCACAGAACCTAACCGCTCCCAGAGCAGCATTTGGAGACTGGTGCCATCATCAGGCAAGCCTCCACTCCACTGCTCTGAGGTATGATGCAGGGAAATGGCCTTTTGCAGTTAGCTCCTGGTTTGCTGGGTGTCATGGGAAGTCCTTCCCCTTTCTGGGGAGTGACAGGTGCTCAGAAGTGGCCTATCCTTGAGCCCAAGATACTGTGGCTAAGGCGAGCTACCTTGTAAATGCTGGGCTGTTGGACAGTCCCGTCTAGAGATGAAATGGCACTGAGGACAGGTGGGAGGCTCAGAGGCTGCTCACTGAGGCTTGGCGGACCTTCTGTGTCTACTTCCTCATCAGCTAAATAGGGCCATTCCCATTTGGGCCCCTTTCCCCCTCTCTGTGAAAGTGTGAGCTTCAAGGGCCTCAGGCCCTCTAACCTGCTTTTGAGATGTGACCATGGCAAGCCACTCAGCTCTCTGGTCTTAGTGTCTCTGTTTGTCCAATAGGTGTGTCACCCCTTCCTACTCTTGGGGTCAGTAAATTTAAATGGGTGATGAGCATAAAAGTATTTTGAACAGAAAAGTAGACACAGCCAGATTCGATGACCCAGGCCTGAGATCCCAGCACTTGGGAGGCTGAGGCGGGAGGATGGCAGGGTAGAGTCTGATCTGGACTACCAACATAAACCCTGTAAAAAGAAAAAAGTGGGGGGAGAAGTGGACACCAATGCATGGGTTAACCCCATGTCTCCCCACACACCAAGAAACCAGGGATATATGGCTTTCAAGATGCTCCAGGAAGAAGCCATTAGAGTCCTTTCCCAGAGGACCTGTGATGACACCTTCAGTGGTTTTCTATTGTCCCACAGGGTCAAAAACCAGCTCCAGCTCCACTCAGCTTCCACTTCTGTTCAGTTCTTCCTGTTAAGACTACCGAGAACCTTTCTCAAACACACTCCTTCTCTTGTCTCCAGACCTCCATTCATGAGTTCAGGCCCCAACTGCACTTGTCTTCTGGTCTGTATATGTCTTCCTCTTCCACTCTTCTCCAAATTAGAGGCCACTTCCTTATACCCAGGAACCAGAGTGTAACTTGGAGTGTCCTCAGCAACTTTTCCTACCCACGTGTCCACGAGCCCCAAGTTATGAAGATACTGATCTCTGAGAAGCCTTTGTGTCCCTCTCATGTACCTCAGGCTGTGAGGGACAACTTGGGACATTATTGACTGGTCACACACCTTCTGTGTGACCCTGTGCTGACACTGGAGACACACAGTGGGCATCTTTGTCCTTAGGGGCCTCAGGTTGGTGGGGAGGGGTTAGAAAACCACAGATCTGAACCTGTGTACTGGTTATTTATTTATTTATCTAATTTTGGTCAACTTGACACAAGCTAGAATCATCTGAAAAGAGGAACCGTAATGGAGAAAACGCCTTCATCAGGCAGGCCTGTAGGCAAGTCTGTGAACCAATTTTCTTGATTAACGAACGATTAGAATGGGAGAGTCAGCAGGGGCAGTGCCACCCCAAGGCAGGCGTTGTATTAAAAAAGCCAGCTGAGTGGTCCATGGGGAGCAAGCCAGTAAGCAGCAATCCTCCATGACCTCT